GATGACTTCTTTGCCTTCACTTATTAAGTTTAAAATACCTCTTTTATCTTCAACCATTTGGGCGTATTTGTCTTCTTCTTGTTGTCTCTTCGTTGCTGGAACCTGTTCTATGTATTGGATCCAATTAATATTAATTGTCTCAAGTGTGCCAATATGCAGCTTGAGACGCATTATTTTTTCTCCAATGGTTTTTTTTTTCGAGCCTCGTGTGTTGACGGGTTTCTTCTCTTGTCAACACTTGCTCCAAAGACGTCAGATCCATTTCTTGGACTTCTTTGAGAAGAGCTTCCAATTTTTCTTTTGCCGGTTGTGCGCTTAGTATTATAATTGCAGACATTTCCCGGCTCGTAGCACCAATAAATACTAATCCATTTAAAATTATTTATAAATATGTTATTTACTTGCTCACGCTCTACAGACAACGCTTTCACATATTTGCAATTCACAATTCTTCTAAAGTACAATTCGACCAGCAGTTCCTTACCAATTCCCACTTCGAAGCAATTCTTCAAATTATCTATAACCGACTAATAACTGGTATTGTCAATCCTCTACAAAGAATAAACAATCTCCCTCAAACATATTGCCAATGTCGGGAAACCGAAGAAGATCGCAATATGTTAATACAGTAAAGGTTTTGTATAAACTATTCCCTAAGATAAAGGATTATTCATGTTAAACAAAGATAAACTACAATGTATTCCAATATTCATTGACGAGTTTGTTATCTAATGTAAATTGTTAAACACATCAGAAATGATAATTATCTAAAACTGTATATTCTGGTATGCTAATTATGAAAAGAAATCCTTATCTTTTGTACCAATCTTATTCACTGTTTTAAATATTTACATAAATTTCAGTTTTGCATCTTTTTATAGTTCAACGTATTTGTTTATAATACATAAATGTCCTAGTTAAGATTCATTAACAAAAATCTTCTAAATAGGAAAAACTTTTAGAATTGCGACACCTTCATCTCCAGATTACTATGTTTCTTTCTTATCCTATATTTCTATGTTACGACTCTATATTTATTTGCGATATTACCAGTACACTAATAATCAAATTTTGCTTTCCTTATTATCCAGCTAAGTTAGACCAAATCTTTTCGCGACAAATATTTCTAGTGCCACGAGCCAGTAGCTCCATGGCTACTAATAGCAAGTATCTAACCGGCTAAGGAAAGGTTGATTAAGCTACTTAATGAAGTAAAAATGATACAAACAATGCCTCTGGATTAAACTTTGGTAACGGAGCAGTAGTAAGTTTTACCAAGAGAACGAATAGGCAAAGTTCAAAGATTTCAACTTTGCATCAATACGCTGCTGCAAATGACAAGTGGCTCAATTATATCCCGAAATCTACTACCAAAACAAAAAGAAGGAAGAAATGTCGTGGAAGAAAAGTATGAAGGAGAAAGGAGAAGTGGATTATGTCGAATGCTCCTTGAAGGTAAAGAAGTGTGAATCTCATGCGAATCTCACAAGAATTACTGCAACCAAAGAAGCAGTCAAAACTTGTACCCATCTCACATACCCATTTCGTAGTCAATCTTCCCAATTATTGTTACCCACTTTTAGTGGGAACCCAGACAATGGCGGCAGTTTTGGAGTAGTTTCATTGCTGTAGTCCATTCATAAGCAATTCCGGAAATTCAAAAGTTGCATTATCTGCATTCATGTTTAAGTAGAAAAACTTTGCAAATAGTAAGATACCTTAGAAAACTACGAAGTCATAAGAAGACGGCTAGGAGAGGAACACTCTAATACTGAAAGTGTCAAAAAACATACACCACGTTGGATACTAGATTAGGTCGGTTTCGAAGTTTAGAAATTTCCTATCGGACTTGGTCATTACGAATGACCAGGTTAGAAGTAGCCAACTCTAATCAATAACGCGTAGGCCTGTGCAAAACCTCCGAGACAAGTTCGGCATTCGCAACAGTGATATATCTTCTCAGACTGCAACAAAGAAAAGAAAAGACAGAAGACGTCACGTACCTTTTGCGCCAAAGATCATTGGGACAGAATAACGCGTCAGTGTAACAAAAGGAACCAAAGCGCTTCAAACAAAACGATTTTCCTTCTTTTCTTCTCGCGGCTCCAGCTGCTTTTCTTCTTCTTCTTCTGCTTCTGCTTCTGCTTCTTTGGTGGCTTTCTCATTCTTCTGCTTTTTCGGTGAAATTTTTGCCATCGTCAAATAACTACGCCAAAGCTGCCCAGTCGAGATGAGGACAGATAACCAAGATGAATATTCGACATCTAATTATAATTCGACTCTTGCAACTCAAATGAGCTCTCAGTGAGGAAAGGACAGGAAACTTTATTCTTATGTGGAGAGATAATAGTTTTCAATCCTTACTACTTAAATGAAAAGGAAATGCCTTGGCAGTGTTTATCTTTTATTTCTAAAGAATTATCACAAAAATTAAAATTAACTGAAACGGAACAACAAAAGTTAAACTTAGCTCTGTTTGATATAAAGAAACTCAGATCGTATCTCACTACTCGCGTGCAGCTAAGAATGATAACACTCTACCACAACGTAATTAAGTAAGTACCTTCAGATTCCTAGAAGATCAATCTGCACAAATGAGGGAACTAGAAGAACCGATTGCTCTAAGAATTAGAAGTGCAAAGACTTAATAAACAAGAAAGTTACAAAAGTAAGAATAATAATAGAAAACTTATTACTAATTAGTACTATTTTTACATTATTATTTCGCGTCACATCAAATGACATTTGTAAATGAACTTCTGGTATTCCATTCAGTATTCCTCAAAAAAAAAAAAAAAAAAAAAAAAAAAAAGAAAAAAAAGAAACTTTGAGAATGCAAAAAGAAAGAAAGATTTATACACGGACTCACGTGAGGATCACTCGTACAGTATGTGTAAGAACATTCTTCACTCATATGTTAGAGAATTTGTCCTTACTATAATAAAAAATTTGTAGTTGATTGGCACTGAATTCCTATACCAACCACGTGAATAATATGTGCTGTCCACTTGTTGTCCACATGTTTGGAAAATTTTGCTTGAATCAAATTTCATCAAATCTGTGTTGATGGAGTGTTTTACAAAAATGAAAGCTTGTTGCTGAGATGTAGTTTGATTTCGACTCCATAGATAGATAAATTGCAGGTTTTTTAAAGTATCGTTCTTCTGGTATATTTTTTCAAGACTGACCAGCTCTATCTGCCGGATTTCAGTCAGGAAATTGTTCTCCTAAGTGGTTTTCTGAAAATTAATGGGCCCAATCTACCCATTCGCACATTTTGTTTGAGTTTAAACCTGTCTGGTTCTATCGGAGGCATGTGCTACTGCAAGCACAAATAACAACTCCATAAGGACACGCAAACTTTATCCACGACAAGGAAGTGTCACCAGGAAGGATGTGTATAATATAAGATTTATAGCATAGATTTGTCATAAACTAATTAAGAGATCTAATTAGTGTATATATAATTAGTATATAAGCATTATAAAAAGACTGATCTATCCAAAATTCAAAATCCATTTTGAAATTAGCACTGTTTCTTTATACTTTCCGTAATTTATGATTTTCATCAATTCATGACAAGATGCTCATCTACAAAGAAGTTTCCGACCTTTAAGTTCAAAGTAACATGAAACTGTAGTTAATCTCCCCCAGTCACCTAGAAATAACATTACCTGTTGGATTAAAAATAACATTTGAGATAATAGGAAAATTTTCAAAATGCTATAGTAATAAACTGCTTTCTTTATCAACATATAGAATACATTACACTAGTTCTGCGACGAATTGTTTGAGAAATCGAATCTTAACTCTTCTTTATGAAAGAAAAAAGAAAACAGCTTAAAATTTACTGAAATACAAATATGCATTGAATATGATAATGAAATTGCTAGAACAGAAAGTGTTACTAGTATTTTTCAGTCTTTTACTATAAATTGTTTCATCTTAACTCCTAATTTTCTTATTTTATAAAAGATTTAAGGAAAACTTTTAAATTCTATCTTACTTTTTACTGAATGAAATTTCCGCTTTGTTATTATAATTTTTTATTCACAAAATCAAATGGATCAATGAATGAATTAATAAAATTGGATGCATCAGTTAACTGAAGAATGTGATAATACTAGTCAATATAAAATAATAGTTCCGGGAAGACATATGATACCGTACAGTGACGTATATTCAGACATAAACTGCCTAAAGAGCCTAGTCAGCATTACTTCCGACTATGACTTAGTATTTTTGCTCATCACTTTAAATAAATCTATCTTAAAGAAATTTAAAATTCAATAACATATACTTTTTTAACACCTAAAATTTATAGCAATTTTTCGGCTCAACTCAATATCATTGAAAAAATGTAAAAATAAAATTCGTTTGAGATGAAATTTCTCAGAAAAATATTTTAGAATGACATTATCTTAATCAATTAATTAATTTTTTCTAATAATGGTGAAGAGCCATTTGTATAATCGATTACCAGAAAACAAGTTATGATTGCTTTTAAAATGAAAGAAGGAACAGAAACAAAGGATTCATGAATTTCGGTATTGAACTTTGATATTGAATAGCATTTCTGTATTGCAGTCATCTACTCAAATATCCTTCGTTTAAAACTTTTTAAAGACATAATTTTTTACTATCAAAACTTTTACAAAAATACAAACTATGTTATATGTTAAATATAAATGATAATTTATTGAAAAAAAAATCCATCATTCTAACAAAAAAAGACAAATTATGATCAATAAGTAAATAATAACGAAGTTGACAACAATACAATTAATGTTGTATATATATATACACATATCCATGGAAAAGTTTGAAATAAATAGGACGATTCAAAAATCAAAGAAAAAAAATTTTTTCAAAATTATTTCTACTTAAGCAAAACGGAGTGAGGGAGAAGAAAAAGAATAAAAAAGAGAAAAAGAAATGAAAAGAAATGATACAATTTTTTAAAAATAAGAGCATAAGAAAATTTAAATTCAACTAAGTTATTAAGCAATTTTCACGTCAATTCCCATTAAAAAACATGCTATCGTATTTTGCGTCATACGCCGCCGTAATAAAGCTTTTCCAAATTCCGAAATGTACGATTCTTTGCCATTCTGTTCGTAATCCATCAAATAAACAGTGATAAACATGGAAATCTGCAAGATAAAAACTACTGATAAATGAATAATTTAAGCTTACAGTGTGTCATGTCTAGGTCCTACTTTTTGAAATTTTTAAATAAAATTATGCTTCCAGTTAAGGGCACGAAATAAAAGTAATCAATTATTTTAAAATAATTTATTGAATATGAATTTAAAGAATTAAGGAAGAAATTTGGTACCGGTCGTTTTTCAACTATATTTTTTTCAATTTCTGGTGGTATGTATTCCTTGACATCATCCAGTTCTGGTGTACACATTTCTGTTTCAATATCATAGAAACCCGGTTGCATCACCTAAAAATAGCAATAAAATTTAATAAAAAAAAACGAATGAAACTAAAAAATTGGTAAATGTTTCTAGTAATACTTAAAATAATTCTCCTGTAATAAATTTATAAAATCTAAATTTATTCTTATTTGATTACTCATTTCCGAATTTATTTATTTTTTATCAACCAAAAATATAAAGGCACTCTTCTCTTTTTTGTCATCTTAAAATCGCATTTGATCTAAAAATTATAATATGAAAAGAAATTCTGCTAAATAGCAATAAATATAAATTCCCTAATTAAGTGCTAATGAGTAGTCATCTAATAATCATTTTTTTTTTCCTTTTTATCAACTGATCTATAAAACATTTTTCTTACAACATGTAGTGTGAGAAGTAAATAGAGAGATAAATAATAAAAAGTGTGAAAAAAAAAACTGTTTGATATTTACTAATTTTAATTTTACACAAAAAGAAATTACTCTTGTAATTTATGAATTAGTCAGTAATATTGTACGCAAAATTTTTTATTTCATATTCTTATTTAATAATATATTTAAAATATAAAGCATTTCTTTCTCATCAAAGAAAAATTAAGATTTTTTAGGAAAGTTTTTATAAGCAAATTTTTTACGCGCGTATTTGTATTATTTTGTAATTTTTCACATGATTTATGATTTTATTATATTTTGTATGCATTTTAGGATGCATAATGTGGGAGAAAAAAAATTTTAGTATGATAAAAAAATATGATAAGGGACTGATACTATGTTGATTAGATGTTGTGTGAACATATAGACACAAAAACGTCGATAATAAAATTCTGAATTTTCATCGATTTGATATTCGTTATTTTCCTCATATTATGACTGCGGAGCACATATAACTATTCAATAAAAAAAAAAGAAATTAATTATGAGTTTTGCGCTAAACAAATTTTACTGTCAAATTGTTTCACTATTAATGGCATATGTTGTTCATTTGATTTTATACTTCATTGCAGAATAAATAAATACTGATGCAATTAATTAATTATAAGCATAAAGAATTATAATAGCAGTATAAAATCATAAACAATATAAAATGTAATTAAAGATTCCAGCCGTTTTTTTTTTTTTTTTTTTCACCTCGTGTAATTCCAGCAAAAGTTTCATTAACTTCTAAAATGCAAGTCAAAAAAAAAAAATTTTAGAAAAATTCCTTTTCAATTTTTTAGATAAGCTTTTCAATAATTTTAAATCAAAAATTGATCAAGAAGTATTTTATGCCATTAGCATTATACCAATATCTTTTTCCTAATATTTGATTAAATTGAATATATGTGACAGAACTGCTTCTAATTATTTATGAATATGGGAAAAAATGACATTAAATTTTAAGAATAATTTTTTTTTAAGAAAATTAAATTAAGAAAAATGGAAGTTTATTTAGTTGCTAATTAATCATGAATACTATTAAAATGCTGTTTTAGAGAAATTTTTTTGAATGAACTGCTGTAGCATGCACAAAAATTAAGTGATTAATTCGTTTTTAGTGAAATTTACAAAATTCGCATTCCTGCACTTTAAAATGTCAACATTTACAATTTTAAATAGTCAGACATTTCAATATTGTGGTAAAATATACATGGCAAATTTAATCATCAATCACTTAAAAAGATCAGTGTCAGATCATTTTATACAATTATTTTTAAATTGCTGGTAACAACTGAGCTGAATAACTTTTAGTCAGCAGTAATAAGATCAGAGAAATTAATATCAATAATTTATTATTAATAGATGCTAAATTAGCATCAATGATTGTAGGTAATCGAAGAATTAACTTTAGATTTCAAAATATTTAATTAGCATAATTAGTCTACTTTTTTCATCGCGACATCGGAACATTACTACTATATTCATGCATGTTAACTTGCATAAAATATTAGGATGCAAAAAGCCAATTTAGAATTAGTTAGCCACTGATTATTTTATTCACTAATTAATTAAATAATTCAAAAATAAAAATCAACATACCTCACATAGACAATCATTATCAATAAGTTTTTGTATCGTTTGTGCATGTGAACTGCCATGACGTGTTGTTTGATTCCGCATTTGTTTACAGAAATCGCAAAAAACACTGTAATCAATTCTGGCAATAGTGGGCAAGACAAAAATTTCTTTTTAAACAATTAAAAATGCAATCAATAAAATGTTATGCTCAAAGTTATCAGTGTCAACTAGCACAAATTTCTGTTTTATTCAAGCATAATTTTTCATATTTTGCAGAATGGAAAATTTTATTTGTTATTTTTCCATATTTTTTTAAAATGAATCTTAAATATTAATTTACTTAAATTTTTAATTCGATTCCCTCATCTTGAACATTATTCTATTTAAAAGTTAAAATTTCTGCTTGGAATACTTTGTTTTTCTGCTTTTCTCTACATTTTTTAATTCTTTTTTGTTTCAATAATAATTTAAACTTTGAACAATTGAATATTGAAATGGATAATCTATATATTGTATACACGTATGACACATACCTTTTTTTTGAACATTTTGTGAAAGATTATTTTTGCTATTAACTATTTGGTTTTATTTTTGAAAAAAAAAAAAATTAAAATTAAATTAATACCAAGTATTTTCCAATCTTCCACAGGGACATTGATTAATTTTGCTGTTAACTTTTTCCGAACATGGTAATGTCGGATAAGTTGGATCCGGTATACCACCGATTCGCATTTCAATTTCAGCGACTAGATTTCTTACTGGTCGTATAACTTCAACACCAAGTGCTTTAATTTTGATGCATCCTGGTATGGTAGGATTTTTGGGTGTTAATAAAATTTGATCGGGACTAAATCGAATTTTCGGCCGATATTTTGCCGGATCAATGCCTCGTCTTGATAGATAAGCTGAAATTTGAATTCGAAATAAAAATTAACTGTTCCATTGCAATAAAAAAAAGTGAATTTCAGAAATTTGCAGTTTGGTAAAATTTATTTCAATTTAAACCAAAAAATAAAAATAAATTGATTATTCAAACCAAAATTTTATTTAGATTTTCACTCTCTCCCCCATTTCGTTTGTTTTAAATCATAAATTTAGCAATCAAATTGCTCTGATTTATCAATTTTGAATCAATCGAATTATTAAATTAATTTATCAAACTAATTTGTCAAACAAATTAACTTATTAAATTCACATATTTTAATGCTCTGTGAGATGCGCACTTCTTATCGGATTAATATATATTTTAAAATGAAAAATTTTCAAAATGATGAAGGAATGGTTTTAAATTGTATATTACTGATTTTATTTCAGCAATCAGCAACTACTTTACAATTGGTAGCAATAAATAAGAGATGAAAACTGGAAATTTACATTCCATTAAATAAATTATTAAAATTTGTTAATTTGTCAACAATGATAAACTTAAAGGTGAAAGAGTGGTTTATCAATTTAAGCTCTATTAAAGCAAATATGTTTCATACATACGTAAATAGAAAGTTTGATTAAATGTGATTAGACTAATAATTAGTGCAGTGCTACTTTTATTTGTTGATTTGTTTATTTGATTTCACTTTTGAAACTACTTTGAAAAATTTTATCACTTAAATTAAGCTCAGCTAATAAATTAAACAACGAGTTAAAGTTTAACGGAGAAAATTTAATGAAAAAATTTTAAACTTACAACTTCTCGCTGAAAAAAAATGTAACTAATGTTGTCAAAGGGCAAAAAACTAGCTAATTAATAACACAAATACTGCTGAAGCCTAAATTTCAATCAGTGTAAAAAAAGAGAAAGGAAGCAGGCTCATAGCACAATATTTACAATATATATTTCTTTTAATATACTTAAACTAGTAGAAAACTTGCTTATAAAAAAGAAATAATCCGGAAAAAACGAATTCTCTTTGTTTTTGAAAATAGTTAAAGATTGGACAGTTTCTCTATCTTTTATGGAAATGAAACATAATTGTAGAGAAATGAATTATTTCAAACAATTATTCAATACCATTTTCCTACACACTTACAAAATATAATTTTTCTAGAAAAAAATGGAAGGCAAACCTTTTCATCTTTAATTTTATACATTATCAAGGCATTAAGATAAAAGCATTAAAAATTAAAATTCATTAATTCGTTGAAATATAATTATCCTAATTAAAAAATAAAAATGATAAATTATTGATTTTACTCAGGATTTCTTTTGCTATGATACAGTTAGAAATTTGCATTTGTATTCTATTTATTTCTTATTTCCTCTTCCCTTTTTTTTAACTTTGTTACATTCCTAATCGGATGAAAATGGCTGGTCGGAAAAGGTATGAAAACAAATGGTCATTTAAAGCTCATTCGGACGATATAACTTGATATTCTTGAATTAAAGATAAAAGATATATTCTGCCTTTGTTTTTACTTTAATATCCTTTAAATTTTGGTTAAAACAAGAAGAAGTTCAATCATTGCTTATTTCAAAAAATTGTTTAGCAAAAACTTCAAAAATTCTTTCATTAAGTTTTCTTTTTTTTTTTTCCCATTCTTCATTATGTAGTTGTTGTTTGGTAAATAAAATATAATTTATAAAAAGAAAAGAATTAAATAATAAAGGAGTTTTCATTATTAGCACTTTATTGCATTACCTCGCATTTCTTTCATCTGTTAAATAATTTTATTAGAAAGGAAAACAAAGATTAATTGGAACGTGGGAGAAAAACTTTTCTCGTTTTTTGCTTTTTTTCATTTTTCACTCAGCTTTTTTGCTTTATTTGAAGAAAAAAATTTGAAAAAAAAAACATAGTGGTTTAGTTAAATCATAATACTATTCAAATTAAAAAGTTATTGGAATATTTGGTTCTAGTTTCACATTTCAAAAAAATTTTTGGAAACTATGAAATGCCATAATATTTGTGTGACAAGATAAGTCGCTATGTCCATATACATAGTATGTAGAAATGTTAATGATAATGAATGTGACATAATTAAGAAAGGCGTATAGAGATAGAAGTTTAGCAGAAGCTAAAATTCAACAGGGAATGGGAAGTATGGGTTGACACGAGTGCAAAATGGATTTGATAGGGGCTAATACAGATAATGATGGATTTGAAACGGAACGAAATAGGTAGGAGTGAATTTCAAATAGATTGCTGAGGGTAAGAATGAGTGGTAATGGGAAGCAGTCAATTTGTGAGATAATTTAGATAATAAACGAAATATATGAAAGGAAAGGAAAAAAAAAAAAACATTCATTCGCTGGATTTTATTAAACAAAATCATAAACTTACAACACTCCTTAAATTTTTATTTTTCACTAATATTATTACTGCTACTCTTATTATTACTACTACTACTACTACTATTATTATTATTATTATTATTATTATTAATATTATTGTTGTAAATATCACTATTATTATTATTATTTATAATTTTTATTTATCATTATTATTATCACTATTATTATTATTACTATTGCTATTATTATTATTACCATTATTATTACTACTATTATTATTATTACTATATTATCACTATTATTATTATTACTATTATTATTATTATAACTATTATTATTATTACTATTATTATTATTACCGTTATTATTATTACTATATATTATTATTATTATTATTATTATTATTTATTATTATTATTATTACTATTATTATTATTATTATTATTATTATTATTATTATTATTATTATTATTATTGTTATTAATTACCCGATTAACTTAACGACTTGAATGTTTGCAAACAATTTTACAAGCACTTTATTGAAAAATAATTTCAAAATAATTAAAAAACAATATTTTTGTTTTACCTGTGCCACATGCACCAGAAACACGAATATTAACTTCAGCTCGATCCTGCTGCGCTTCAACGTTATTATTATTGGTTTGAAGAAGCAGCAATCCAGCTAATAACAGATGAAGTGAGGTAAAAGGAAGATGAAAAAGTGAGACTTGAAGTTGAAACATCAATGAGGTGTTGCCGATAGGCGGTAAATGTATTGAGTTTTTGGAGCACCCACAAAGATGGGTGATATGGGTCGGTAATAAACGGAGATGGGTGGGTCTCTTCATTCATTACTCTTCCCCCTCTTCAAACACCATCAACAATATATCTGAAGTCGTTCGGGTATGATAACAACAATAACATATTTCCTAAAGATGAACAAAAATAATCTCGACAAAATACTACAGCAATAGAAGATGACGACGACGATGATGATGATGATGATGACAACGATAACATTAACGATATATGGCAATGAACAAGAAGCAATATGCGAAAGTGATGACAATGAAATATGGTTGTAAAGGCATATATATATATATATATATATGCTTGGAAAAGACAATTTAATTGGTACTTGAAATATTAAATACTATTAAATTATTATTACTATTACTATGAACGCAAATAAGTCATCATTACTCACACCATTACCATTCATTATCAACGTAAATTGAAAAGAATAAAATTTTATACTGCCTATCATTTTCACCATTTTTACATCGCAATCATTACCATATTATTATTATTATTATTGTTATTATTATTATTATTGTTATTATTATCATTGTTTTTATTATTATTATTGTTATTGTTATTATTATTATTGTTATTATTATCATTGTTTTTATTATTATTATTATTATTGTTATTATTATTATTATTGTTATTATTATCATTGTTTTTATTATTATTATTGTTATTGTTATTATTATTATTATTATTACTATTTTTATTAACAATATTATTATCAATCAATAATGACAGTAACGTTGCATTTCCTCCTTTCGTCATTTCCTGTCCGTTCATTTTAATTCCTTTGATTTAAATTTATTGAAAAAAAAAAAAAAAAAAAAACAGAACAAAAAGAGAATTAAAATTTTTTACATCACATTTTCATCAAAAGATGTATGTAATGTAAAGAGAAGGAAATAAATTTTTTTTAAACTAAATGATTTTCAAAGAGAAAAGAGACTGTGCTAATTGCACAGCAGAAAACTGTAAGCAGACAAATATTTCTCCTAAAGACAATTCAAACAATAAAATTAAAGAGAAAAATCGAAATATTTTTTCAAATAGCATGAAAAATAAATAAATAACATTAATCCTGGTATTGATATTCTTTATTTTCAGTAGATAAAATTAATTGGTAAGTAATCCGCCATTAATTGATTAATCAATTTTGTCACAGTTGATTTAACAGTGGGAAGAAAAGGAAAAAGACTGATCATGATTAATGTCATTTGATTACATTATCGAAATCACTAGACAGCACATACCCAACCCATTTTTAAACCTTCTCTTTCCTTTGTTAGTAGGTGGAATTTTTCCTCGAAAAAAATAAAAAATGTAATCAATACTTCATTTAGTTTCAAATATATATATATATATATATAATAGTAAAATAGTATGTTCCCTCATTTAAAACAGTAGGGAAATAATTTGCATAAATTACAAGCATCTTTTTTTTTGCTTTTTTTATTGGGAATATTCTTTTTTAAAACCAAAAAAAGAAAAAAAAAAAAAACAAACAAACGTCAAATTAAAGTTTCTTTTACCTATCATTGTCTGTTAGGAGCATATTGACAAATATCTAAATTACTATCAAACACACCTACCTTTTTGCAAATGATGTTAAAACTAGCCACTATTGACAGGTGCTATTCAAAATTCTTCTCTTATGGAACGAAAAAAAGGGTGTTTTATGTGAAAAACATGGATGTTTATAGCATAACCTCAACCTTTGATATTGGGTTATTGATAAAACATTACATTCCTAACGATGCAAAATCCTTATACCATATGCCTAAATACTAATCATTAGAAAGAAAATTTTACACTGATTACGAAATTTCAGCTCTGTAAAAATGAAATGGAAATTTACAAACACTAATAATAACTTCCATTTTGGAGTCGATATCAGGTTGAATGATAAGAGTTCAATAAACTGAGTGATATTGAAAAATTTAACTTACCAAGATTGATAAATTGCCAAATTCAACAATGTCACAAGACACATCACTTTATGCTATATATAAATCATGATGAATACTTAGTTTTTTATTGAGGAAAAAAACCGATATCAGAGAAAACTGACTGTCAATAATAAAGTGTCTCACATTAAAAAATAAAGAATATATAATGACTTTTTACACGGGTTACTAAACCTATCTGCATGCACTGTATCAACAAATCAATGATATTCGTTAGAGTTTATGATTATAGAATAAATGATGTATTTTTCTTTTTTTTTCTTGAACTAGCTGTCAAAGTTTAGAAGCACAGATGACTTCTAATGAGGCGAAAAAAGAAAGAAAAAATAAAATGAAAAATTTTTGAAATTTGAGAATAACAAAGTTCCAGTTAATAATATTAGAAATAAACATTTGTAACCCACAATTCATTAAACAGATATCACTGGTTCTTTAACATACATCGCACAGGATAGTGGAGAATAAATTTCACTTTTACAAGCTTCAGTCTTCAATCCGAAGCAATAATAAACGGTTCTGTTGCTTCATCAAGTTTCTTGTTCACGATTTCTTAAAAATTAGAACAATTATTGGTAAAAAATTAGTGCTTCATTATATTTCATATTCAAAGACAGAGTATTCTGTAAACTGTTTTATGTTTCACAAGATCGTAAAACTTTGCATCTGTGAACACAAAATATGATTAAATATTTATTAAACAATGCAAAATTTATGATGGTTCAGATAAATAGGCTAAAATTTTCGAATAATTGCACGTTAAAATCAAAAGACAAAAGAACTAATCGCTATACAATGGCAAATCTACTGAATTATATTTAATGATAAGAACAATCCTTTTAGGGATTTGGAGAGTGAGGGCCACGGCCCGATTCTCAGTTTTCTGCTCGGATATGCTATTACCAAAAAGAAAAAGAAAAACTTTAAAATTACCAGTTTCAAAATTTGAACTCCCAACATTTTTTGTTGGATTAGATTTAACGTGTTTCGCCTGCTGACCTCGTGCACTTTTCTGCAAAGGAAAAACAATAATAGAATTTCTGTTCTTATTGCAAATTTTTTTTGATAACCAATTAAATTCAATAAAAATGTTTGTCCTGAAGATGCATGAGTTTATACATTTAATTTAATCTGCCAGGTAACTATTCCTTGAGAACCTTACAGTTTACAGTGGATGTTTTCACCCAATATTACTTCCATTCAAATGGATTCATGCGATGAAACATAAACTACAAAAGAAAAAAAAAATCATGTGAAAAGAAACCTGGCCTAAATAACTGATAGAATACAAAAATATTAACATAACACAACAGATATGTATAATAGATAGAGCTAAAATTCGCACGCTTCTGTGAATTGGATAAACTGTGAATTTAAAAGAACTCACATCCGAAGTAGCCTTAGCGGTAATAGCATTTCTACCAGAAGTTTCGACAGCAGCAGTTGTTGTAGCAGTAGAACTAGCGTTAGATTTTGCATGCCGTATTTCTGGCTTAGCCTGATCAAAATCTCCTGCTGCAACAGAAGCAGCGAGTTGACTAGCAGTTTCCGGATCTATCTCATCACCTTCATCAAGCAGTACATAAACTGGTTCACCATTTGCGCCTTTCAACGCCTGTACCTAAAAGCAGAGAAAATAATAGTGAAAATGGATATATAAATTCCAGTTTCAATTCTATTTCTACTTCATTTCATCTTTCAATATTTCATAGTTTGGCCACATAAAACCCATATAAAAAAAAAAAAAAAAACACAAACAAACTTTTTTGAAATCGACACCATACTGCGCTTTGAGCGTCGCAATTGTAGCCGGATCAGTAATAATACCCTCAGAATCCTCTGCAACAGAAATAAAGTCTGAACAGAATAGAGGAAATTATATACGCATAGTAGTAAGGAGAAAAGCATAGCTTACACCGCTCAATTTACATATCATTTTGCTTTAGTCATTTGAATGCTTCAATTGAATTAATTTCTCTTTTAAATACTTCAGTGTCACACTTCAAATCAATTCGACTTACCTTGGCCTCGAACCATTCGCTTGCGTTGCGTACTATTACCCTACAAACGTAATGTCTTCAAATAAAAAGTATTTTATTTAATAATTTGCTTGACTTCAGTGAATAAAAATGTACGCAGTGGTTGCATGATCCGTAGTAAGAAGAAAGAACTACTGGTAATAGTAGTGCCATTAGCAGGATTTTGTTAGTTTTTGACCGTGATGTCCGCATTTTATTATGTAGTAGCAACTGTTTCTATTATTAGCATTGTAATTTCAAGCTACTGAGGAATTATTTTTTTAGCAACTGTTGAATTAATTTCCTCAACCTGTACAGATGATGTAACTATACAGAAGCAAATTCTACGACTAATTTTAAAATACTTTTTTAATATAATACTCATAAATAATATTTATATAATAATAAATGTAATACTTAAAATACTTTTTAAGTATTTAAAATCCTCGAACCTACCGAATCGCCAGTAGTAGAAGCAAATTCAGGCATTAAATCCGGGTGTTTGGAGCGAAGGTGACGAATAGCTCGGCACATATTAAACGGTCGATGTAGCATATATGTCATGTTGCATACTAAGCATTCAATTAACTGCGGATTGATGAATTCCATGCAACCATCAGAAATCCTTTCCAATCTTGTCTGTAAATGAAAATTCTAATTTGAATCCCAAGCTTTAATATTATTACTAGGAGCTAATGTCAGATGTAATAATAATCATAAAACATTTTAGTGAAGGTCGGATGGAATAAAATTAAAGCAGAAGAATTGCTTTAGACCAAGTATGATTTCTCTTGCGTTATAAGCAAGATGCAAAGCTAACTATTCAAACGCCTCTACTGACCTATTGGTTATGCAAAACTTGTATACATCAAGTTCATTTTTTTTAATTTAAAAAATGGGGGGAGGGAAAAATTGAACAATTCCTAACTTTGCATAATTCATACTGCATGCTATGTAGATGATGTGGATGCTCAGTTCGGAAGTGACGTATTGCTCCAGCACTTATCACAGCTGCTAAAATATCTCCGTTACACATCTTACATTTCCAATGACAATCGT